GTGCTCAACTCTGCTTGCAAAAATAGCCCTGTAGTTCTGCATGTGCTACGGTCATGCAGAAAGCTAACCGTGTAAATACCTGTTTGCAGGACTGCAGAGGCTGCAGAACCTCATTTCATTTCTAGACAGCATTCTCCTGAAAATTAGCTGAGCTCTACATGGGACAGCTCTTGAACTCAGGACTGTGTGGAAACAGAAGGGATGTGAGATGGATTAAAGAAATTAAAGAAAAATACAGGGAGTTAAACTTGTTTAGCCCTGTCCTTTCTGCGCAGCAAAACCAAGTCCTGGTTTGGAGCATCCGTATGGATATACCTTTGTCAGTTGAAGCAATGGGGTGCTGTTCCTCTTGAAGGAGGTGTAGGAGAACCCCAGTTAGCACCTAGCTTAGCTATACGGTTGTTGAAGCATGGACTCCTTTCTCCTCTGGAGTTCAGTGCAAAGGGTCTTGTGAGTGAAGCCTTTGTATGATTTCCTCCAAGTTAGGTCTTACATCTGCTTGAATAATAATCTGTAAAGAAGTCAATCAAATTATTTCTTATCCCAACATCCACTGAGACTGCTAGAGAAGAAAAAAGAAGTTCTTCCCTTCAATACCCACCTTCCACCCCCTCCCCCCACACACAAAAAAATAGGCATTCATTGTTCACCTTTAATCCTTCCTTCTTCAAAACTGTATGGCAGCAATGTTATGATGAAGTGATAAAGAACTTACTTTAGAGCTAGAGGAGAAAAAAAAGTAGAGGACTCTCAAGTCTTAATTCAAGGATTGAAAAACCTTAAAACATGGAGAGGGAGTATACTTGCTGCATCCTGAGTCTGTCAGCCACCTTCTGCTATTTCTTAGTCAAACACGCCAACATCGTGTACTCCTTCTTACGTCTTTAATTATCGCCTCTTTTTATTTTACTTTTCAAGGTTTTTTTCTTATCTTTAATTTCTTGACCTTTTTGATGCATACAGTATGAGAAAGAAAACAAACGTAAAAGGAAACTGTCTACTGTATTGACTAATCAAGTTAATTTCTAGTGACCTGACATGCGGAAACTGTCTACTGTATTGACCAATCAAGTTAATTTCTAGTGACCTGACATGGCTTGTAATATACAACACATCTAATTCAAAACATACCAGATCAGGTTTCTGTCTATCATATGGTGTTTATTTTTTTAAATCATGTCTTAATATTAAATGTAAAAAAAAAAAAGAAGGTGACTCTCGCTACTAGGATTAAAGCCATTATAAACTCAATCAAACTAGAATTAAACAGCATTGTCAAAGTAGTATCTAATTAGAGCAAATCCCCAAATCAGAATTAACAAATAGTGTTGGACTACAACCAAACCATTACATTAATACATAATCAACACTTATGAATTCCTAAATAAGAAATCCAGAGAGAAAGCTGCCCATTTAATTATACATTCCAATTAAGATTTTAGTCTCAGTCAGCGCAGTAAGCTTATCTGAACATCTCACTATTAGCCCAGTTGAGTTACTTGAAAGTCACATTTGCAGTCATTGGTGCTTCTACTTAATTGGACTGTTACGGGGCAGATCTTTTCTTGTGATTTCTCTTGCTCTTTTTACAAAAAGTAAGTTTTACAGCATAGCTCTGCTCTGGAAAGGTTAGCAGCTATAGGTAAACACTGAGAAAAGCTAATTGAAGCTGTGTGCTTTTTTTCAAAATAAAGAGCATGCACAAGTTCAAAAATGTTTTACAAGAGGTGAATTGAGAACATAAACAAATTAAGGTTTGGAACATTTCCAAATGTTTTTACACATAGGTACTAGATCTGATTGTATTCTTATGCCATAAAACATTAAAAGGTTTCTTCCCACTTAAAACAAAAGAGCAAAGGGCAGCAGCTAACAAGATAAAATGTGTTACAGCTATTCTCTTCAGCCAGTCCACATCCTCGCACAATTAACAGTTAAACAAGTTAGCAAAAGATAGGGATTATATTAGCCATATCTTTGAATAGGAAGCTCATTAAATCTACAAAACAAACAATAAATAAACAGTAAATACACACTAAAATGAAAGAGGGCAAAGTCCATGCAGCCTGCTAGGCTATTGTGCATGGTTCCTTTCTCACTCTCTGACTTTATGTAAGCGGTATTTCCATCACGGTATCCCGTGCTTGCTTTCTTTTTTTGGCATTCTTGTCTTCAACTGTGATCCAGCTTTGCTTTTGCCTTTTGGGTGTTTTTTAGGGTTTGTTGTTTTGTAAAAGGTAGTATTTCCCTCTGCTTAGAGGAGACAACGTAGAGTGACTATAGAGGGAAGACTGGTGGTTAGTCAAGAATTCCTGAATTCTGCTTGTGAGTCCGTCTGTGAGCTAAGATAAGCTTACGTGAGGACCGTTACTGTTGCTTAAATACATTTTGTCTCTTAGCTACTTGCTGGCATCTTCTGTTGCAGTGTGTTTTATACAGACTGTTTGATACCCTGCTCCCACTGAAGTGCTACTGCCCGTCTCAGTTTTCTTTGCAAATACAGAAACTTGAACCTCTTTAAAACCTGATACTATTATTCCCCTGCAAATATTTGTAGCATTCAGATCATATCTTGCCATGGGTTGTGTTCTGAGTACCTGTGAGGGAAGGCTTTATGCAGATAGATGCAAAATGGAGATAAGCATAGCTAGTAGCTGAATTATTCTACATGTAAAACTGCATTTTTATCCTCTTTCAGCCATACTCTCAGAAGACAGAAATTCCAGTGAGTCTGCCTGGAAGAATAAAATTTCTATATCTGCCCTAAACACTCCAGAGCCAGCAATGATGCATGAGCCTTTAGTTGGCAGCCAGAAAAGGAAAGCAAGGAAAACTAAGATCACACATCTTGTCCGAACAGCAGATGGTCGAGTGTCACCAGCAGGAGGGACACTGGGTAAGGAAATTGGAATTTAAATTTTGTTAAAACTGAATGGTTGGAGAAGGCTTGGGAGTACAAGCAACCTATCAGGGAAGTATTTTTCTGTTAGCTTGGTCTCATACCTACTTAGAAAGGTCATTCTTTAAAATACAGGTATCAATCAACTGGGAAATCAGTGAGTCCGTAACGGCCAACTTCCTTTGTTGGAATGCCCAAATCTGTCTTCTCTCCCTGGATATTTCTCTCTAAGAACTGAGAGCTGATACAGAGAGAAATGGAAGACAGTTACCTTTCATAATTTGTTTCCAGTCCAGCAAAGAAATTACACTGCACCTAGTTATAGGATGTAAAAATTAATTCTGTAATATGACCATCAACGCCACAGTCCTTGCAGGAGTCCTCTGCAGTTAAGATAATCTTTCAGGACTTCTGTATCTAAAACATACACAAAAGCTCTCTTGCCTGACCTAAAAGATCAAACTCAGTTGAATGCAAAATCAGTAAACTGCTTCATAAACCTTAGTACTGTGCTCCTGCCAATAGCTTGGGTCAGAAGAGGTTGCAGCATGATTACACTTGCAAAATCAAAGTCCTAAAGGTAAAGATTCTGTTAACATCAGACTAGTCAATGTATCGATGGGCTGCTGTGAATTTAAGGGCTAGATTTGCAAGCTTAACTGTCTTTTATTGCAGAGGAGAAGCCAAAAGAGCTGCCACAAAGTACTCTTCAAAAAACGTCAAGTGCAGAAACAGATTGTAACAGTGAATGCTCCAGAAATGCAGAGGCAGAAGAAAATCATAGTATTTCATCAGATATGCCAGCAGTGTCTGCATTTTTTAGCTTAGCTGCTCTGGCAGAAGTAGCAGCCATGGAAAACGTACACAGGTATGGTTTTCTTCTCCCCTTGTTGTCCAAGTGAGTAGTATGTGGCTGCCAGCTTGCTCAGAAAGCATGTGAACTTCAGACTGTTTAATTTGGCCTATGTTTCCTCTTCCACAGCTTTCTATGAAGGTCTGTTTTACACCACTTGCTTTGTAGTATTAAGTCTTCACCTAAATGACAATGTAATCTATTTCAGTAGTCAGTAAAATGATCCTCCCTGGTAAGCTTACCTACCAATTTTTGTATATAAATAGGTTCCTATGCTCCTTGAGATCCTTGAGGGTTTCTAATTATCAGATGCCATTTGTCAGATAATAGCAGATTTAAATAACTATTGCATGCTGATTTGCATTTTTCAGTGGCCTAAGACTGAGGAGAGAATTTCATATAACTTCAGCTGAAATGGCTGAAGTTATATGAAATGGCTTTCTTCATGGCTGAAGAAAGCTAACTTGTTGTTTTCACTCTTCTGCTTTGCTGTGTAGGAGGCAAAGCGTCTGCAGAATGGCATGGGGCAGAACAACTCTGGGTGATGGAAAGTCACGTTAGTTTGGGTTGGTCCTCTCACTTAGTGAGTAGACAGTCCATACAGATAAGGTGGAGAATGTGCAGGTTACTTAGGGCTATTGGATCAGTTCAGCGTGGTCAAATCCTGCAATGCTAGACTTGTGATTGGAGGAAACCAATGACAGCAACTCCTCCTTGGCTCTTAGTTATCCAGTGTTGTTCTTTGATGCTGCAGCTTATTGGAGATGAAAACCCCATCCTTTCCTGCAGTGGAAAGTCAGTGAGGAAATGCTGGACCAGTTTGAAACCATCACAGCCTCTGCAAATGGCATTTGACAGATTGCTGGCTGCCTAAGAAACTCCACAAGGCAGCGGTTGATGAAACCATTCACAACGTCATTTTACTGTTGATGTCGTGGCCCGCATCGGCCAACCCAGTACTGTGTGTTCAGGCTGCACGTCAAACATTGAAAGGTTTTTTAGAAGCTCAGGGGCCCTGCAAGAAAAAAGTCAGCTGAACCCAGCCTGCTAGTTCTTCTCTACAGAAGCTGTTGTCTTGCTTAAGCAACATTGTTTTGGGTGAGAAGTGTTTTCACACTGCAGTCAGCCTGGCCTTTCCTCCCAGCATTGCCAAACAGATGTCTGCTATCAGGACAGCAAAAGCCTGACCTCGTTTCTGTCGTCTTCTGTGGTCAGAAGCCACAAAGCGAGACTTGGGGAAGTGCTGTGCTAAGCTCTGCTCTTACTCACGCCCTTTTGGTTTCATTGATTTCCACTAACATTGACCAGAATTGCACAAGAGCAACAGGATTCGCTTTGCTGTGGTTTTTCCCTCTTTGTTCCTCTAACAGTTCTTGTCCTCCTCTTGTCCCTGTCGAAGTGAGCTAATGTTTTGCATAGCCTTCTGTTTGGGTCTTTCTTTCATATCTTTCTTACTCCCACCTTTTGCCATCTCATTGTGCAGCTAGAGCAATGCAGCACCTTCCATGAGGCTGAAAACAGCAAACTGGCAAGTGTCCAGCAACTGTTGCAAATTCCAGCTCGTAATCACCCTGGGGGGAAATGACAACAGGGGAGGACTCTATCCCAGTAGAAACTTAGCCATGTCTCTTGAAGACTTGGCAAATGGAAGTCAAAACAGAAACCTAAATCTGATGGGCTAGGTGCTTCTCTATTTTCTACTCTGTCTACTGTTTGTTATCTTTTGCAATTCACTTCTTTATTTGCAAATAGCCGGAAATGAGAACAGCATTAGAGGTTTGCTTGATGTGTTTCTTCAGTGTCTGAATTTAACTATTAAATAATTTCACAGAGCCTTGGGCCATGGAAGCCAAACTCCTTTTTAACTGTAATTAGAGCTTGTCTGGAAGTGGCAGCGTGGTTTTCATTTTAAGGCTTCTGTTTAGCTTTATTTACCTTGTGCATGCCCCAGTTAAGCGCTGTGAGCCTGAGCTGCATTTTGTGCCAAGGTCACTTCATTGCACTCCGGTTGTGCAAAGCACATTGGTACCCCCATTTCTGCTGGGGTCTTAGCTGTGCCAGCGTGAAGTAAAGTGGCCCTTGCGTAAATAAGAAGTGGGCCCCAGATTTTGATTGCTGTAAATGACACATGCTGTAACAAAAATAGAACCTGATTTGTGAGATTAGATAACAGGCGGTGACGTGCTTTGTATATGTATTTTAAAAGGCAAGCTGCAAAGGAGCTCTCTCAAGTCCATCTGCTACAATGATTGATGTTGATTTGCAGCACTTATTCTGGTGCAGTTTATTTTTATGATACCCTGTGCTAGGGGATCATTTGTAAATTAACACTGCCGTAGTAATGAAAGAGATGTTGTGCTGGGCTGATGAAGTGTTAAGTCATGAAACTTGGAGTAATCCCAATGTGCAACTCTGCTGATGAGCATATTTCCATATTGCTTAAAAGCTGGCTATTGACTTGCATTAACACGATATATGCCTCTCTGCATTTACCTTCTTTTGCCACACTTGAGCTGTACTCTCTGCTTCTGAGGGCAGAAGCCACTCCCTTACAAAATGGGTAACAGCACTTGTGCTTTCTTAACTTACTCTTCAGCTGTGCATTTTGTTTTCTGTAGTCAAATACCATCACGTCTTGATTTTGCCTGACTTTGCATTGTGTTGTAGGTTGTCCTCGGAATATTGTGTTGCTGTTGCAGAAATACCTCTAAAAAGAGCGTGTAACAGCGGTATTCAGGCATCTGTAGCAGCAGGGAGTTACAGTGCTGTAATGTCGGATGTTAAACCGTATCACGTGCCGCTTTCCATCCTTTCTGGTCTGATAAACATGCCTCCCGTGCTCCAAATAATGACGGGTGGCTTTTCTTTTCTTCTTTTGCAGAAGTCAGAGGGCCACACCTCTCCCACATGACGGACAGCCAAATGAAATGTCTCAGGCTCCAGTGCTTATTTCCTGCGCTGACCAGTGAAGCTCCACTTTATTGTAAAACATTGTGCTTTACCTAATATCCTAGCCTTGTCTTTACCAAGGGAAGGTAGTCAGTCCATATGATGGAAGCTATAGACTGCAAGCAAGTGCTTATTGCTCTGAGTGGCCCAGAATTCACTGGAAGCCAGATGTTAGCAACTTGGGCCAGGTCCTCAAATCGGAACCCCGTATGTAGGAGGGTGATATTAATTGTCTATTAATGAACAGAAATGGAATGATCCCAGAGCTTGCTTTCTATTGAAGGCTTTTAAACAGTAAATAGGTGGTTAGTGTGAAAAAGGCTGCCTTTACTGTTAGCTCACACAGCATCTCTTTTACCAACCAGAGAGTATGGCAACTAGTTTCGTATAATACCTAGTTATTCTAAATGAAAATGAAAAAAAAAAAACAAAAAAAAAAAACAAAACAACAACAACAAAAACAAAAACACTGACGCACTGCACTAGTTATTATTAGATATTCTTAGTCATTTTTGTACATGAAGATTTAAGTTCTAAGATGGTTTATATTAATAGGTTATGCCTACGTTTATATTGTAGAATGAATTTAAAACCTGTTCCAGAGAACTCAAGGCAGCCTGGACAGATGTACCATTGTTAGCGGTGTTTGGGCAGCCATGTGGTCCAGATGTTCTGCACTTTTATATTTGCCACCAGAGTGGTAGAGTTTACTGGCAAAAATTCTGACAGGCTATGTTTGGGTTTGTTTCTTTTTAATTTAGCTTTGAATAACCAGGATGATGTGCATTAGAAAAAGGAGTGGTGTATGGAAAAGAAAATACTGCAGATAATTGACTTGTCTTTCATGCCTTGGAGGGTTCCTTTATTTTTGCATAGATATCTGAGCGACTTGGTGAAACTTTCCTGTAAACAAAAAGTACTGCAAATGCGTTTTTCAAAAGTGACCTTAGTATTATTTCACCGTTCTGAAAAACCTAAACCCGTGACTTTTCGATATACATGTACACCGACACACATACCTTGTACATTTTACAGACACTGGCATTGTTGTAGTTACTATGCACAGTCCAAATCGGCTTCAGAATTTGCGTAAAGGGCCAATTACAGTTTGTGTTGGTAAAGTGGCAAGTTGTATACAGATAAACTATAACCGAAGAGTAACATTTGACTGAATTCAGACTACCAAACAGATCCATCTGCCAGTTTCTGTCTTTGCTTACGTTGAATTTTTGTGTTTTGCTCTCATAAATACATCCCGAAAGCAGGCCAAGTGTATCACTTGGCCTGTTATCTTTGCTATCTTGACTTACACTGTTGTATAACCAAGCATTGATTCCTACCAACAGATGCAAAACGATCACTAGTAATTGATCTAAAGCTACAAATTCAACAGGGTACTTCTTCTATAGCACAAGATGTTTCCCTACTTTTTGCATTGTAGCACAACAATTTACCAAATTGGACTCCAGCAATAATTTTCTATTAGTCTTCGTCATACTGGCTGAACTTTTGATAGTATTAGATTGAGTTTGAAGTTCTTTGAATTAAGTCTTTAAATGATGCGAGTTTACATCATTCTATCAGGCATTCTTATTTATACTTGACTGAATTGATAATGTGTTTTGGGGTTATTTTGTAACTAATTTGATGTAATAGCCATATGGACCGTAACTCTATTAACGCTTGCTAGGTTTAGCCTTTCATTGTTGTAGTTAAGTGAAAGTCTTTGGTTCAGTGTCGGGAAACGATATGCAACATACCACACGAGTTGTAACAAAAGATTACAGGTCTGATAAAAGGCAGGTAGCTGGGGAAGTGTCACTGAAACAGCACCATCGAGGATGCATGTGTTGGAAGAAGGGAACAACAACAAAAGAACAACAAAATTTACGAGCCAATGAATCAGTGAAAAGGCTTTTTAAAATTTCAGGTGAATATATGACTAAGAGCCCCTAGAATGCCATTGCAGCCTATGGCAGTATTTTTAATAAGATTTTATTAAAGTTTTATAAGTTATTTTAGCAAGACAGGAAAAACTTAAAAGACTTAAAACTGTTGGGTCACAGCAAGGTGGCTGTTGGAGTTTTGGACCACTTTATAATTAGCTGAAATCCAAATATGTTACAGTGCAGGCCGTTCACGTTGACAATGGTACTAACTTATTTCTCTAGAAACCTTTAGAGTAGATATATTTTTGTCAAAGCACCCCATCCTTCCTCGATTTAAATTTCAATATTGTTCCTGAAGATATTTCTGTATATTAATGGTACCTTTTTTAAAAGAAACAGAAAATTACTTTTTTCTATATGAATTAATATCTTACTTGATCTGCTTTTCCTTGACTTTCCCTTAGAGAGGGGGTAGGGTTGGGTCAGTTTACTGGATATGACTGTTTTCAGATACTTATAAACCTTTTTGTAGATATGCTTAATTTTTAAGCGATTAGGCACTGAGAGTAGCAGAAATCCTGCAAAGCTTTATAGTTCACTAGGCATTTGCCTTTGTTGGTTCTCTGAGTGATGTCTTGATTTCAGTAGCTAGAATTTTCCCTGAATCTACTAGAAGGGGTATCAGTATTTTCAGGTAACAAAGTCTGTTAGCACAACAAAAATTTCAGACCAATATCTTACTGTATTGGGGTTGGGTTTTTTCCTTGTTTGTTTTGTTTTAATTTTTATTAATTTCAGCTGCTTTCATTTGGAAAATCTTATTGCTATTGTGTGTACTTCAGTATACCAGCAAACACTGTTACCCGTTAACACATTGTCCACAAATGCCTCTAGAGAAGAAATTGTTGCACCTTATGTATATCTCAAGCAAACCAAAATATGATGCTTTCCTGCTTTGTTTGTTCTGAATATGTTGTATCATACTTTACTGAACCCATTTTAACTTAGCTAAAGCTATCGATATTTATGCATTTCACATTATTTTCTGGATCTGAACCTGTGTATAAATCTTTCTTTAAAAAAAAAGAAAAGCATTTACCGTAGTCGTCCTCTGTGACTTACCCATGGGAGGGGGGAATCTTGTCTCAAGTGTAAAATGCAGTACTGTCCCAGTTTTCCTTGGCTTTTATTTATTTAGTGATCTTTGATATTTCATGTGTAGTTTTGAGGTATACAAAATACATTGTCGTAGCCGAAGCTACAGATCTAAGCAGCTGGGAGAAAATTACTGTAATGTTTTCTTAATTGTTCTAGTACTGTATACAAATATGGGAAAAATGTTCTGCAGAACATTTGAGATGCAGATTCTTATCCCCACAGTAGGTTATTTTCCAGATATTAGACCAAATCAATCAAAACTCGATGATCTTAAAGGTCTTTTCCAACTTTTCCAACCTAAATGATTCTATGATTCTAAAAACATCTATGGAGATTACTTAATGCTCTGCTTATGGCAGTGACTACCCTTGAATGTGCTGTGATTTCAGAAATAGAATATATTTATTTAAGATGACTGAATGCTCTTTTATACTAATACAGTATCCCAAAGTCATGAGCAAGAGACTTCTTGGTAGTTTGGGTATCTATTTTATAGCATTGGTGCATGACTTTTGAAATTAAAGTGATAAGCGTTGTTGGAAAGGGGCACAGGAACAAGGGACTGGTAGAAGTGTGTGAACTTGTGGTGTTTAAATTCCAGCTTTGGTCTTTATTATTTGGGTGAAAGCTGCCTTTGTAGCACAAGGCTGAAGAGCACTCTGCAGTTTGTATCAAGTAGAAACCCGAGAGAGTTGTAACTCACATCAGAACGAGGGAATGCCTTACAGTTTGGATGTTATCTTTTGGAACGGGATATTAAATTGAAGCAGTTTTAATTTCCACTGCCTGTTTAGCTACTGTACGGATACTGAACAGACTGAAGGCAACAGTTGTAGACGTGGGACAGCTAAGAGGGGATGAAAGGAAAGCTGGCCTTTGTTCTCAGTATGGCAAAGTTATGGCAACACAGGGGAATTAGGAAAAAAGCGAGTGAGAGAGATACGTGTTTGTGTGTGTATGCGTGTGTGCGTGTGCGCCTGGGTACATTCTGCAAAAATAAAGTAGGAAAAACAAAAACATGATGGGTCTGCAAGAAACTATAATGTATGTTGACCCTTTGAGTGCACTCCCTTTTTTTGAATGCTGAGTCTAATATGGCTACCTCTCCTAAAAGACTACTTTCGCTAACTTCCATTTGCTTTCAGGCTTGATCGTGTAATCTTTTCAGCCATTGAAACCATTTGTATATCACTGTGTGCTTTACTTTGCAAGAGCAACGTATATATAGCGCAGACAACATAAAGGCTGAATATATAGTGGTAGCCAAACTATGTTGCTGGAGCATTTTTGTTTAACCTCTGCCATAGTCATATGGGTTGCAGGACGTGGGCCCGCTAGCTCAGTTGGTTCAGTAAGATTGGGTTTTGTAACGGCAGAAAATGCAGTGCTTATGGGGTGGTGGACTTCAAATATCGCCAGAGGTGACGCAGTAAGCCAAATGCTGCTCTTGAAACTTACTCTGGAGTTTATGTTTGCAATCCTGATTTCGCAAGGAAACATAACTGTGCAACTTATGTGTTGTATACCATACATGATCCATTAGATGCTGTTTGTTTGCCATGCTTGTTTGATAGATTGTAGAGCTCCTAGGTATCTCTGCCATGTTTTGTGATACGTGTGGCATTCTCCTTACCTTGTACATATTGTGGAACTGTCACCTACAGCTGCCAGGATGCTGAGGCACTTCAGGACACTGAGCGCCGTGAACGAGTGCATTTAGTCTGTGAAAGAGTTACTTGCCTCCTCCCCTGAATTCCCCAATGAAAAGGCACAGTGAGGTTTATGCTCTCACCTAAGTACTATTATAGTCATTTATATACACTCAGTATTTTCTACTGAATTGACAACTTTGAAGAAGCGTATGAAATGGATGTATATTTTATGTTCCCCCACTAATTCTTCTAAGGCAGAAATCTAGGAAGACTTGACATAAGATCTCCACTCAGCAACAGACCTAAGCTTACGCTGAAAACCATCCTTACTTAAGGGGCAGCATTGTTTGCACTGTGGCAGTGCAGGAGCCACGATTATGGACCACTACGCTCTTGGAGTTAAGCTTGGGCTTGCGTGATGTTCCTGGGGGAGGCACGTCATTGTGACCCAGGGCCTTCATTGACATGGAATTTTAAAAATGACTGCAAATAGCTTAACATTTATTGAGTTTTTCCAAAGAATTGTATTGTAGTTTCTGGGTCTTAACTGTTACTGTATACCAGCAGACCCACACTGTACTCTACTGGAAAAAAACCACACCTGTACAGGCTAACTAACTAGGCTTCCAAATGTAATGGTCTAATCTACTCTTTTCATCCCTGCAACTGAAACCTTATTTTCTCCCACGCACTGCTACACTTTAATCAGTGGTTGGGGCTGTGAAGGTAACAAAA